CCCAAGTGCTGGGATTATAGGAATTTTGGTGCTTTCAACATACACACGAAAAAAAGTAATTATGATATACACATTAATTTGACTACAGTAATCATATGTATATCAAGATAGGTTATATATTTTACATATATACAGTAACAAGAAAATTTTTATTTTAAATAAAAATGAAAACATAAAATTAAAGGCAAGCCTAAATCTGCAAATTTGTTAATCTAAAAGACAGCAAGTAGCAATTTACTGAATAGCATGCTAAAGCATTTAATTCTTACTACTTTCTTATCTAGGAAAATCTTCCAAAATAAAGGCAAAATTCATGAACAGCTGCAGACCAAAAAAGTATATATCTAGATTAAGTCATTGAATAGTCAGTGGACCATAGTAGGAAAAAACAGATGGATATCTGCAATATAGGATGTTTACACTACTATAGTGGGTTACAAATCCATTAAACATCTGTGTCCAATTGTGGAGGACACATTTTTTTTTGTCCTTCCTTGTTGAAAACACTTTTAAAAGGAAAAAAACAATTCTATAGCTTGAAAATGGTTCATTCTAAAGTATACTTTGAAAAAAATACCTGGCAAAGATGTAAGACCCTTCATACTATAATTTAACTTAAAAGTGCTAGTTCATGAAAATGTGGCTGGAGATTTTAAATAGTTATTTACTAACTTGCCACTGTTTCAACCAAGGAAGTACCTGAGCAATTCTGGGTAAATCTCAGAAAGCAGCTTTGCCCCACAGTTAATTATGTAATTAGTACTTTCCAGCGTCTCAGCTCAGAAATCCTATTGGAAGTACCAAAGTTAAAAAGGGGCTTATAGATACTATAAGATACCATAAGTGGTAATTTATTTTCTTTTAAAATGAATTTAAAAACCCAATAAAAATGATACAGAATTTCAAAACAAGATGACAGGAAATTAACAATGGTTATTATATTGCATATTGTTCTCTTCAAAGTAGTTGCTCACATTACCAGATATATAGGCATGCAAAATTGATCAAACAATATAAGCACTAGTACAATTACCTTAGCCATCTTGTGTATGTATGTGTGTGTGTATGTGTGTATATGTGTGTGTATATATATATATACACACACCCTCCCTTCTCCTTTTCCCCCATCACAGTTGTTCTTTCCTTTCGAGAACTTTCCCTTTCACAGTATTTACTGTATCTTTTAGATCTTATTTACTCTTTCAGTTTCTTATACTAGGGAGACAATACAATGTTTATACATATGAATCTGATTTATTTCATTTATGAGTATGGTCTCTAGTTGCATCCATTCACCTGTCAAAGCCTTGAGTTTACCTTCTTCCATAGCTGAGTAACAATACTCCATTGTATAAAAATACCACATCTTTTTTATTCATTCCTCAGTTGACAGGCATTTGGGTTGTTTCCAAGATTTAGCTATGACAAATTGTGTTGCTATAAACATGGGTGCACATATATCGTTGTGGTATGATGTTTTCAATTCTCCTGGAAAAATACTCAGAAGGGTAATAGCTAGGTTGTGGGACCTCTAATACTAGTCTTTTGATGAATCTCCACCTGATTTCCAGTGGTTTCACCAGTCTACCCTCCCACCCATAGTGGAAAAGGGTTCTTTTTCCCCCACAGCTGCTCCAGCATTTGTTATTGGTTGATTTTTCTAAGCCACTCCGATGACTTACAATATTTGAGCCCAAGCCTTCTTTCTAAAGCGTTAAGTGCAAATTTTATTAGAGAAATGGGCCATCCAGAGTTAACTGCCATAGAATAATTACTGTTAGTATCTCCTGCTCAACCTCAAGCATTTAGTACAAAATCTACACTTCTATTCCACTCATGGGTAAAAGGAAAGGCAAGGAGTAAGATGACAGAAATGCTGAAGTTATGTAACTTCAAGGAAGAAGCAAGTCTTTTAGGTATCCCCCCTTGAACATAATGATTTGTTTCCCTGAGTGAAAAGCTTCCATAAACACCTCTGCTTCAGTAATTGGCTTCTTTCATCTCAGGTTCCAATTACTCAGCACCCTGGGTTACAATGCTTTTCTGATAAAGGCAGAGATTGTACCTGACTGGCTATCCAAAGCAAAAGGTGCCTTTGTATTCATAGTATAACTAGGAGAACAGAAACTATAGGCTCTGAGGAAAAAAGACATAGGAAGTCATCAAGAGGGTGAGACAACCACATTTTAGTAACACCCAGAAATAAATAGTATCCTGAGGCTAAAGAGACAAAGAAGGAAGAGGCCCACTTCAGGAGTCCAGGGTCAGCACCATACCACAGATGATGGAACCATGACAGCCTTTTGCAAAGAGCAATGAAGCCACAAAATAAACACCAACAGCAGCAACAGCAGCAACCTGAGAAGAGAAGTTCTGGTTCTCACTTTCTTAGACCTCTCATCAGTGTTTTCCTACTGTGTTCCCCAAAATCCACTGGGTGTCAGCTGTCACTGGAGCCTCTGAGGCAGCCTGCATAATCTGCCTTTTCAGTACTGAAGAAAGCAGGAGAAAGCTACAAATGGATCCAAGATCAAACCACCCAAGACTGGCATGTCTTTCAAGGAATTTCACATCACAAAGGCAATATTATAAATGTATCTGATTAGCTTCTTTTGTTTGTTTTTAAGCCACTCAGTTCTACTAAGATTTCACCTATGTATTAATACTTCCAGATCATCTTTCAGATTTTAAAATAAAAACTCCTATAAAATCAATCTCCAGAAATACAATGTTGCTAGGCAACGTAAGAACCACTCAACTAGTCAATATGTAAGAATGTGCAACTGAGGTAAAGGACATCTGGTCAAGTCTGTCTTTACATACCTATAGAGTCTAATTTGGAATAATGTAAAAGTAAATTTTTCACAGAAAAATAAAATAGTCCCTAGAGAAATGAAGCTGCTACCAGCCAACGTGTAGTATAAATTATTTAAAAGTATTCCCAAGGAAATGCTTCGACAGTGCTTTCTCTAAAGCATTTTTTTGGCATAACCTTTGAATGTTGTATTTTTAATTACTGAAAACTAAATTCATACTTCTCATTCAAAAGAGAAATTAAAGTATTGATATGTATTCTTTGGTGTGTAAGAATAAAAATACGGTGATTAAGAATTATTAAAAGTTAATCCTAGCTTTAACCCCGCCTTCAAAAAGCAAAACCACTGGTTCTTAAAAGCTAAGAAATATAAATGAACACAGCCATTACGGAAAACAGAATGGAAGTTCTTTAAAAAACTAAAAATACATTATGATCCAGCCATCCTAACCATCCTAACCACCATATTTTCCAAAGGAAAGGAAATCAGTATACCAGTGCATCAGTGTACCAAAGAGATAACCTGCACTCTGCGTTTACTGTAGCCAACAATAGCCAACATCTGGAATAAACTGAGGGGTGTCACCAAAGGGTGGATGGATAAAGATACTGTAATATAAATACACAACAGATTTTTTTCTTTTTTCACAACAGATTATTATATAGCTGTTAAAAATAGTGAAAGCTTGTTAATTGCAACAACACAAGTGGAGCTGGAGGACATTATATTAAGTTCAATAAGCCACATACAGAAAGACAAACACCATGTCTTTTCACTCCTTGCGGAAGCTAAAAACTGTTGAATCATATAAGAAGATAATAGAAGAACGATCACTAGTAACTAGAATTGCAAGGAGGGTATGATAAAGGGAGATGGGGTAAAGCATACCAAAATACACAGGGTTAAGTACAGCAGCAGTAATAGTCTATATTTTAACAGGGTGATTAGAGCACACAACAATTTATTATAAATTTTATAAGGAAAGATTCCCAGATTCAAAGATTCCTAGTAAAAAGAAATTATGAGTGTTGGAAGAAATGGGAACTCTAATGATCCTGATGTGACCATTACACATTGTGTGTATGTATGGAATTATTACGCCGAACTCTCTAAATACTTATGTATACGTAGAAAAGAAATCAAGCACTGTTTTATATACCACAGAATAACTGCCAACAACAGTCAGTATGTTTGAGTCTCAGTGAAAACACATTATTATATTAAGTAAGAATATTTTAAGAATTCCCTAAAATTTCTGCTATTTGGCTAGGATTGTGCCTGTGTTTATCCAAAATACTTATACAACTATAAACAAAACTCATTGTTTTAATTTTTTTGATAATTCCTTTCACAAAAATATATTTTCCAAATATAGCTTAAAAAAACAAACTTTCCAAATGGTTAAGGAATCTTTGTCCACTGGGACTATCTATTTTAATATTCATCAAATTGGCATATCAATAAGTTAAATCAATAAATACTATTAGTCTGCATTTATATACGTTTTAAAATAAATATTCCCTCTTCACTCATTTCAACAGCTATCTATAAAGCTATGTAACATACTTTAATTGTATTATTTTGACAACAGCAATAAATTCTATTTTATGTGGAAAAGGACACTGATTATATAGCCTAAAAGATCACAAAGGCAGCATATTCAGCATGATAGTAAAGGGGGAAACATGCTAATTTTCATGAAGTACTTCTACATGTCCCTAGAAATCCTTGGAGGTTTTCAAGCTTACATTTCGGTCTCTACATATTTGGAAAGTAGAAAAATAATTATTATGATTTTAAAGGGAAAATATTCATTCTTTTGTAAAAACATGATGATCAACCAATATACAGTACCACTTTAGAATACACTGTAATACAATTGTTGCTATTTTTCAAATACTGCCACTATTCTGCCATTTAATAATTACAATTGCTGTTAGGTTTGCCCCTCAGTGTCCTGACCAACAGTAATTGTAATTATTAAATGGCAGAAAATTTCCTACCACTTTGTTTGTAATTCTGTATTGTCTGTACTGTTCTTTTGCTATTTTGTAAACAGTTGTCTGTTAATGTTTTCCTCCTTTCATTTTTAAAATAAAAAAATTACAATTAAATGCAAAAAATGCTATCTTATTCACTGCTTTTCTTTTATCAATGAAAGAAGTTTTCTCTGTGAATACTTACCATCCATTCAGATATAATAATATCCACTTTTTCTACAGGAAGAGGAACTTCTTCAATCTTTCCTTTAATTAGTACAATTGTATCTTCAAGTTTATTTAGTCTGAAAATTACCATAATGAACTGCATTAGTATATTAAACAGATTGTGAAAGTTAGTTAAATTACACACTTTTTTTGCCAACCGTTTACACTGTTTTGTGGAACAAAAAGGTGTTCAAAGCTTATCCTGTGTGTATTGTAATTGTCCTTTGGTTCTCCCATGAATGCCAAAGATGTTTCTGGTTAATATGGCAACAGACAAAACTGATAATGAAACCTCTCTTTTGAAAAGAAATCAATTTTACAAATAATACATGCCAATAAACTGTGTTTTTAGAGAAGAAAAAAGGTGTGTGTGAGGGGGATGAAGACAACACCAACAATGAAAATGCATTTTAAAGGGAATCAAAATATGTTATAAGCATGTGCAAATATGGCAAAATCAAACTAATAAAATTTAAAATTTTTTCCAAGACACTACAAAAAGGCAATGTAAAGTATCTTGTTAAACATTTTTTAAATAGACTTCTGGTTCAGGTGAGGGTAGTATGGCTGTATGGGGCTTAATAAAATTATTACTAAAGCTCAACTAATAATAAAACAAAAGGAAGGCACAGCAGTGAAAGAAGCCCTTAATTTCAAGCCCAGACCCTCTAGTAGTTCTCAGCTTTCTGGGTCTCACTGAGCTTAATCATCTCACCAGGGCGGTGTGTTCATATGTAAGAGAGTAACACTTGTGCCAGTTACTTCACAGGCTATTAGCGGATCAAGTATTTGTAGAAACTATGTGTATGCTGCAAGCACTACATAATGGTAACGGTATCATGAATAGCAAAAATACTGTATGTTGCATAAAACTCGAAATCCTACTCCAACCACAATTTAACTTTGCCCAATGGTATTCATTAGATATTTTCATATACTTCAGTGTAAGATTAGCATGTATTTTTCAACCTTTCCTTCTTCTATAATTTGAAACAAAGAGTTACAAAAATAACTTCAGAAAGTTAAAAGCAGGCTGCAGATTAAATGTATATTTAATCAAATAAATAAGTTCTCAATCCTCAGAAAATATACATTTTAAATATAAGATTTTTTGGCATCAAAGGAGGGATTCTCGCTTTATACTTCAACAAGGTATTATTTACATACAATTAAATCCATTCATTTTAAGAATGTATTTTGCTGAATTCTGAAAAACGTTAATACTTGGGTGACCACCATCATCCTCAACACAGAAAACTTTCAGTTCCGCTAAAAGACTCAGGTGCCCTTTCTTAGAGAATGCCTCCATCTACAACCACTGATTTTCTTTCAGTCCTAATAAATTTGTATGTTATAGGATTTGTGGGAGTAGAATGATACTGTAGGTGCCATTTTGTGCTTGGTTTCATTCACTAAGCAAGGTACTTCTAGATTCGTGCCTGTTTTTGTGGGTTAGAGTACTTCTGTGCTCCTTGGTATCACTGAGGAATATTCTACTGCATGGGTAAGCCTCTCATTTTGTTTACCCACTCACCCAGGGGTAGAATTCTGCATTGTTTCCAGCTTTCAACTATACTGAATAATACTATATTTCAGTACAAATGGAATTGCTCTGTCAAATGGTGGCATATATTTACATTTTAAGAAACTGCCGACTTGTCTTACAAAACACATATGTATAAAAATTTACAATCTCTGCTGCAATCTGTATTCTTCTTTCATATCTTTGTCAAGAATATTATGTTTTAAAAATTTTAACTGATGGTTCAAGATCTCGTTGTAGTTATAAACTGCACTTTTCTATGACCAAGCCATGTTTTTGTGTGGTAACTGGTCACATTAACACATCTCTGTTTTCCCCCATGTCAGTACCTATCAATACAGCTTTGAAAAGACTCAGAAAAGCTATCACTAGTGAATGGAATTACTTTGGCATCTTTGTCAAAGGCTATCATATATACATGAGTTTCCTTCTAGACCTTCAATTCTTTTTTTCCTAGTTTGCCATTTATTCTGTACCAGTCATCCCTTGCTATATCACACTTCACTTATTACAGTTTCAATGTATTGTGGGTTTTTAAAACATATATATATATATATATATATATATATATATAAAATTCTGTATCATGGAATTTTGTGATATATGGGTTTTTATATAATATTTATGATTTTTATTTTTGCATAAAAATTTTAAAACAAAAAATATAAAAATACTAATTCAAACATTAAAACATTTAATCAAAATAAAATACAGTATGCATTTCATCAGATGAATACTGTACTGTACACAATGGAAATGCAGTACCCTACTACCACTTGCCTAAGTTTGTCAACGTGAGATTGTACATGGCACACTATTGGCTGATGGAATGAAAGGTGACCAACCACAGCACTGTGTCCTGTGTCCTGGGCACTAATTGGCTCAGTGACCATGGCATCGGTCTGTTTGCTCTCCTACACTGTGCCCATATGTTCAGCATCTCTCCTCATTCAAGTTGTAGTATACTTCACTGAGTGAGTACCCATACAGAATTTTACATGTTGTTAAAATTACACAGGTTTAAGAGTGTAGAAAGCATTTAAGAGCATATGAACTGTTTATAAGTGTGTGGGAAAGGTTAATAAGAGAGTGAGAAAGGTTTATAGGAGTGTGGGTTTATATGGTTTATAAAGCCTTAAAATATATATAAGTAACAAATATAATGCCTCTAGTTTGTGGATTTTTACCTATTGCGGAGGTCTCTGGACCATAACTCCCACAACAGGTGAGGGATCACTGTTTTTGAAAGATTTTAAGGAGAAAGTACATTTTGTAACAGAACACAGCAATGTAAAATCACTCCAAAAGCATCATTTTAAAACAAGAAATGTTTTTCTCAATTGCCATTCTTAATTAAATTATTAACATAATATTATATTTCCATATACATGTAACATGGGATGTAATAGGTCTTTTGACCCACTTTGTTACATAAACTAAGGGTTTTCTACTGTTTTATATGGTTATCTATTTACTTTTATTTTTGTTTATGGAAAAAAGGCAAAGCCAACTTTCATAAAAAGATGCTAGGAGAGTAACAATTAGTACACTACATATTATTATCTTTAAGCAATTACTAAAGATATGGGCACAAAAATTCTCCAATCAATATTAGCACAAACCTTTCTCTTCCATGAACAAAGAGACACTAATAGTATAACTGACCTGCATTTTTCCCCTTCCTTCCTTTCCCCTTTCCGTCATCTTAATTCCTTTTTCCTTTCTAACCATTTCTTCCCATTTCACAATATCTACAGTACATTTCAGACCTTGTTTACTCTTTCAGCTTCTCCTATTCAATACAGTTCTGGAAACATTAGCCAGAGTAATTAGAAAAGAGAGAGAAATTAAAGGAGTAAGGATAGGAAAGGAAGGAATGAAATTATTATTCACAGATGACATGATACTCTACAAAGAAGACCCCAAAAGCTCCACCAAAAGACTTTTAGACTTCATAACCAATTCAGTAGCATAGCTGGATATAAAGTCAACATTCAAAAATCAACAGCATTCCAGTACACAAACAACAAACTCACTGAGAGAGAAATTAGGGAAACCATACCCTTCACAATAGCATCCCCAAAAATGAAATGCTTAGGAATCAATCTAACAAAAGAAGTGTAAAATATTTATACATGGAAAATTACAGTAGTCTGAAAAAGGAGATCAAAGAGGCTATCAGAAAATGGAAAGATATCCCTTCCTCATAGTTAGGAAGAACCAACATATGGCCATACTCCCAAAACTGTTATACAGATTCAATGCAATCCCAATCAAAATACCATTAATATACCTAACAGAACTAGAGAAAACATTCCTAAAATTCATTTGGAACCAGAAGAGACCTAGAATAGCAAAAGCAATTCTGTGTAACAAATGCAAGGCAGGAGGCATCACAATCTGTGACTTCAAATTATACTACAAAGCAACTGTGATAAAATCAGCATGGTACTGGCAAAAAAAAAAAAAAATCAGACCTGAAGATCAGTGGAACAGATTAGAAGATGCAGACACAACCCCAAACACCCTCAGCCACCTTATGTTTGACAAAGGGGCCAAACATTTTCACTGGAAAAAAGACAGAATCTTTAACAAATGGTGCTGGGAAAACTGGCTTGCCACATGCCAAAGACTAAAACTAGACCTATGTCTATCACCATGCACTAAACTAAAGTCAAAATGGATCAAAAGATCTAAATATTAAAACAGAAACACTAAATCTACTGGAAGAGAAAGTAGATATTTTGAAGACACAGAGGTAGGCAGAAAGTTCATGAACAAAACCCATAATACACAGGAAATACTTCAAAGAATCAACAAGTGGGACCTCACCTTATTAAATAGCTTTTGCACCTCAAAAGAAATCACCAACAGAGTAAGAAGACAACCCACAGAGTGGGAAAAAACTTTAGCCAATTGTCCCTCAGACAAAGGACTTCTATCTAGAACATATAAAAAAGCTGAAAAAAATCAGATTCCCCAAATTCAAAGACCCAATTCAAAAATGGGCATCTGAGATGAATACACATTTCTCAGATGAACAAATACAAGTGGCAAATAAATATATGAAAACATGCTAAACATAATGCATCACTTCAGAGATGCAAATTAAAACACTGAAATTCCATCTCACCCAGGAAAGAATGACTATTATCAAGAAATCAACCAATAACAAATGCTGGATGTCCTGTGGGGAGAAAAGAACCCTTCTTCATTTTTGGTGGGAGTGCAGCCTGGTGTAACCACTGTGGAAGTCAATGTGGAGATTTCTCAAAAAGCTAGGATTAGAGGTCCCACTCAACCCAACTCTTCCTCTGCTGGGTATCTTCCGAGAAGAATTAAAAACATCACAACACAGAGATATATGTGCACCCATGTTTATATCAGCACAATTTGTAAGAGCTAAATCTTGGAAACAACCCAAATGCCCATCAACTGAGGAACAGATAAAAAAAGATGTGGTATTTTTTTATAATGGAGTACTACTCAGCCATAAAGAAGGATAAACTTGAGACTTTTATAGGTAAATGGATG